AGAGGTTGGGAGTAGTCTTGTTTCTCTGCCCCTGCCCCCCAGGCTGAAGCCCTAGTGTTTCACCAAGGACCTCAGCTGTAGCCCCCCTGAGCATCCATATAAGAAAACCAAGGCATGTACGTTGTTTCTTTCTCTCCAGACCTCCCAGTACCTGTGGTTTCTCCCTCTCCTTCCTGCCTTACTTCCTGGAGGATGCTGGGGCCCAGTGTTGCACTTCTCGGTGTCCCAGCTAACTGGGTCTGATGAGCCACCTCATTCTCAGGCCCCAGGCCGCTGAGTCCCAGTCAGAGGATTCCCTCCTGGTTTTTCTTTCAGCTTCAGGTCCTTGCATCTGACATTCTGTCATCTCTACCCACTCATTCCAAGCCAAACTGCCCTCCAATCACCTGCTCAGATCTTTTTTGCTTCCCTTGTCTTCTGGAAACTTGTCTGGATTTGCCCTGTCCATCCTCTTCATATTTAATTTAACTGGCTGAGATTTATGAAGCCTACCTTGTGTTCCAGCCACTACTCATGACTTCATGGACTATAGCATCAGGATAACACATTAGGTGTCAGGTGTAATGCTTTCCTGGGGTAACCCTCACTACACCCTCATTTCAATATCCAGGTGAAGAAACTGAGTTTGAGAGTGATTACTGACTTGTCCAATCTGGAATTGAGCTTCAGAACTGAGCCTAGAATATAAAATGGTCTGATTCAAACACCAGAGCTCTAACTGCTTCCCCAAACTGTCTCCCACAGTCTGTCCAAGCTTCCATCTTACTGGCTCACACCTCTGATCTCATGTCTGCATTCCCTCCCCACTGCCCTAAGTCCAACCCTGAACCACTCACGCAGGGAGTGTTGATGGGTCTCCTCACCCTGGGCCTCTCCCTTCCCACCACTGGGCGTGGCCTGGATATGGTGTGATGGAGAGCATAGCTCTGGCCCCAGGCAGATTTGACCTTGAATCCCAGTGTCCTCACTCATTGACTCTGTGATCTTGAGTTAACTCACTTAACCTCTCTGAGTCTGGGTTTCCTCATGTTAAAAAAGGGTAGCCTGATAGCCTCTGTGTCAGAGGAAGCTCTTTTTCTGAGTGTTTAAGGAAATAATGTAGGTCAGTCCTTGGCACAGTGCCTGGCACTTACTAAGGGCTCAGCGCATGTGAACTATTATCGTATGATTCTTCCCTGAAGGAAACTTCCATCATGTCTTCCCCTCTCACCCTGGGCACTCAGCGCTCTCCTCAACCTAGTCCTGACTTCCTTTTTTATCTTCTCTTTTTGCCTTCAATCCCTCCAGTTCCCCAAGCAGTGTCCTTTCCTTCTTGACCTCTCAGTGCGATATAGGGACAAGAGCATGTGCTCTAGGGTCGGGCAGACTGGGTTTGATCCCTAGTTTGACCCTCGCTAGCTCTGTGAGCTATGGCAGCTTTGTCAACATGGCTGGGTCTCAGTTTTCTTAGCTAAAAAATGAAATGAGGGTGTAGTGAGGGTTACCCCAGGAAAGCATTACACCTGACACCTAATTGGTGTTTAATCCTCTTATCTATGTTATCACTGGAATTCCTGCTTCTCCTGTCCTGCCAGGCTTCCCATGGGAGTCTCCTTCCACTGGGAAAGTTTCCTTGCTCCTCCATCATACTTAGATTCCTCTTGTGGCTTCCCATTATGCTTTTCATCCATAATAATATGGAGAACTTTGCATTGTACATTTCTTTAAAGTTTTCATAGCCACACACCTGAAGTCATCGCCCTTCCTAATGTTGCAGATTGTTTTTCATGGGTTCCTGCCTTGTCCCCCAAGGCAGGATAGAGTCTGGTCCCTCCCCCTAGCCTAGTGCCGGTCAGATATCTATTATATGGTTGATGTCATTCAGTGGGTTGAAATTTGAATTAATGTGGGCAATTTGCAAGACCGGTGTAGGAAATCAACAACTAAATTGATCAGAAAAGTGGGCTGGTACAATGACATATTATTTAAGTATAAGAAACCACAAAGACGGAACCTACTCTTGAGGCACTTGCTTCTCTGTATTCATGCCTTTGGACTTGGACTTTTTGGATTCGGGGATTTTGGAGTGAGCTGTCCCATCCCCGCTGCTCTGTGTTCTTGTTTCTATAATATCCCTGCCCGTGCTGGATTGTAAGTAATCCGCTGAACCATCTGTTTCCCCACCCCCAGACTGTGGGGATAAGCCCCTGTCCAATTCCTCTCAGTGTCCGGGACCTGCCACTGTGCTTGGCACACAGTAAATGGAAGCTGAGGGAATAAATCAGAAAGACCCAGCTGGGTCCATCCCCTCATCTTCCTAGGATTGTGCTCGTTCCTAGTCCCTTGTCTTATCCTACAGTATGTAAATTTCTTGTCTTCTGTACTGAGTAAAAGGCAGGTTTCATGTTTTACTTGTTTTTGTAGCCTCCCTAACAACGAGGAAAGGAGGAAACTGTAATTACTGAGTGTCTATTATGTGCCAGTAGTGATTTCACATATATTATCTCAGCTTTTAGAAATTGAATTTAATTCTTATAATAGGTCGGTAAGATAGGCATCATCAGCCTTGAATTACAGAGGAGGGAGCTGAGACTCAGGGGAGCAAAATAATTGGAATTTGACCAAGTTGACCTAGCTAGAAAGTGACAGCTCTGGCGTGTGAATCCCTGTCTGCTGGCTGTAAGGCCAATGCGGTTCTTTGTTGGTTGGTAGTGTTTGTTTTTAACAGCATGCAGGTGAGCAGAGTGTGTTAGCCCAGTAGGTGTCAGGAACTCTGCTGAGCTGAGACTTGAATTTAATCACATTGAATCACATCTGTGCAAGCCTGCTCCCAAATGTTTCGAGCACATATACTGCCTACCTTTTCCTTTGATTGTTTGGATGAAAATTTTTTGAAAACATGCACTGAGCACTCCCAGTGCATCAGACACAGTGCTGGGTGCTGGGAACACGGCGCTGGACACAGGCGTCCTCAGGGACAGTCTGGTGGGGAGACAGACCTGCAGCAGGGACCATACACGTTATCTGTGCTGTGGGGAGACAAGAGACAAGACTCAAGTCAGTCTGGGGGGGGACCATGGAGACCTCTGAGTAGATCATGAAGGAGGGATGAGAGTTGGCCAAGCCAAGCAGGAAGAGAGCCACAGGGAACAGCATGTGCTAAGCCCGGGAGGTACAGAATGGCAGGTAGGATGGGTCTGGGAAAAGGGGGCATTTCGGCGGAACAAGGCAGAGGGAGCAAGAGATGCTGAACCTGGTCTCCCTGTGTTCACAGCATGAACCAAAAGTCATGAGTGGCTCCCAGCCCTTGCCCCTACACCAGCAGTGCTCCTGGGTTAGACAACAGCTAGGACAGCCTACTCACTCAGGAGTGAGCTGCGGGAAGAGCTGGCCGCACATCCATCTGTCTTCTCTAGAGAACTGATGGATGAACCCAGTGTTTGCATTTCCCTGATGTGTGGGAAATAATGAGCAAGTGATTGGGCCGGCTGACCTAGTGATGTCATCTGCCTGCCAGTGGGGGGTGGGGAAGGGCATGGCTGCCCTCAGCAGGCTGGGAGCAGGGCTTGGTGCCCAAGTTCTCGATGTGCCCCTGCAGCAGAGGGCTCTCGGGTAGCAGGGAGCCGATGTAAATGGGGATCAGGTCCCATTCAGAATGGCCTTCTTCTGTGATGGGTGGAGCAGAGAGTTCTGTCACTGTGGGCCACTGGGTGGTAAGCTTATGTGTCCCTTGTGTCCACCCAGTTCCAGTTTTCCTCTTTACTATGCCTGAAAACATTCTTTAACTCACACCTTTATTAGCCAGCCAACCAAGAATGGCTGAGAGCTGAACTGGTCTTATGATGAATTGTATGTTACTTAGCCAGTAATTAATACATATATATGTGTGTGTATATATACGTGCTATGTATGTATATCATATGTATATATTATATGTGTGAATACGTATTATATGTATGTGTATATGTGCGTGTGTATGCGCACGTGTGTGTGCGTGTATCAACACTCATCACATGCAGAAACAAACTCAGCGCAGTGCTGATGCTGACTTTCCAGTCCCCTCCTTCCTCCCCCTGGTACTTCGAAAACCCCTCCATTAGTTTTGTCTTGGTCCTGTCCAGATCTTGTTCTGTCCTCCCCTGCGGCACCCTCTGGTTCCCTCCTACACCCCCGACGGGCCTCCTCCCCGGTGATCCTTAGCAGACCACCATGGACCAGTCCCTTCCACATATCCAGACTGCCTGCCGCCGTCCTCTCACACGGCCAGCTCACCTGCCCCTCATCCCGGAAGCCACAAAAAAGCCAGATGGAAGTCAACCGTGCTCATTTCCGAGAATGGCCCAGGCCTACTCACCACCCACTCCCTCTACCCTTGGCTCCATGCTCTCCCGCCACAGCCCTACACGCCCATTTTGCTCCCTATAATGCATTCTTCACACTGCTGCCTGGATGGCTTATCTAAAATTCAAATACGATCATGCCATTCTCCTGCTTGGATCCTTCAGTGGTTTCAGACCCTTTCAAGTGACATCCGAACTCCTGAAGCATTTAGAGCAGTGCCGTCCGTGGGCAGGCTCCTTCCTACCTCCCTGGCATGGCTTCCTACCTCTCCCCTGACAGTGGGTGACACAGCAATGCTAAATTGCTTATAGCTCCCCAAACACACAGTGTCATTTAATGCTTCTGAGTCTGCCAGAAATAGCCTCTCCTCTCCATCCTGTCTTACAAATCTGATCAGCCTTTCAAAGGCCTTCTCTGAAGCCCTCCCAGACAGAAGTCATCGTTCTGGGCCGCCTCCGTGTCTCGCTCAGGCATCTGCTGTCCTGTCTGCAGACTCCCAATACCTTCTTGCTTCCACAGATGGTCTTACTCCTCCCCGAGGAGCAGAGGACCTAGCAAAAGTGGGTGCTTAGCCAGCGCGGTTGGAATGATGGTTGAATTGTACTTTCTTCCCAGCATTTAAGGGGCTCGTGTTTTCGCCACAGCCACACTGATCCCTGCCCCCTGATTGGCTTTCCCAGGTCGGGCCAATCACTGGTCTGCAATCATTGGTGGATCCCACTCCAAGAACTACGTGCTGTGGGAGTACGGAGGCTACGCCAGCGAAGGTGTCAAACAGGTTGCAGAATTGGGCTCACCCGTGAAAATGGAAGAAGAAATTCGGCAACAGGTAAGAAAAGCAATCACAGAATGACCAAAAACCAGGCAGGGAGTCAAAGCATCCTTTAGATTTCTGGGGGCTAGAAGTTTATAGTACGGTGTGCGGGGAGATCGGCGCCCTAGGAAGCAAAATCTGTTTGCTGAGTTTGGGGCAGAGGGGGATGGGAATTAAGTCGAGTTAAGGACGGAGACACACAGTCCCCTCTTTTTGTCTCAGATTTTCCGTGACCGGATTTGTGTTTTCCCCAATTTGTGCTAACAGCCGCTGCTGGGGCCGCGTCGGTGGCATGCAACATCTCTGATCTCCTGAGAGTCGAGTGGCTGGCTTTCAGTTTTCTTGCTATGATCCTTGCCAGGGTCAGGGGAGTGACACTGAAGTTGTCTAAACCAAAATCACCATTCAAAATCACCATGAAAACAAACTGTTTATCAGCACATGCGTTTTGTAACCGTGCCTTGAGGTGTTTGACAAATTCGTCGGTCCTTAGTCACAATAGTTACAGACGGCACAGGAGCATCGTCCGTATACCACCTTACATGGGCCCAGGAAGTGTGCCATCATCTAGGTCCCCACGCATCCCAGTGGAGAGATGAGGGAGGAATCACCCATCGTTCATTCTGATTTGTGTGACTGACAGTGCTATTTTGTCCCCCATGGAAAGCACTAGAAAGAGGCGGAGGAGGGATCTAGAAAGAAGAGCTGCAGTTTTTCTGTGGCCATTCACGGCCGTACTGTGGAGAGGTGATGGGCCAGCTTCAGCCGTGGCCGCCCACGGAAATCCTTCATGCCTGAGAGAGCTCTGTGGGCAGCCAGGGCACACTGCCTGCAAGCTTGCTCAGGAGGGAATTAGCAAGGCGCAAACCACGCTTGGGCTGTGGTCATTTCACAGCACAGGTCACTGCCAGGCTGTCCCACATCCGAGACTGCAGGAGGCCCTGGAGACACGGGCCCAGGTGTCAACAAAGTGTACGTGCCCACAGGCCCAAGCAGCACAGGAGGGCAAGCGCAGCTGAGGCCCCCAGTGCTTCCCTTTGAAGTCGCCCATGGGGACTCCAGGCTGCCCACAAGCCTTAAACTGAAGGCAACAGAGGTCACCCTGACTCCTTCTATAATCCCCTGAGGAATCCTTTTGGACCCGAGTCCAGAAATGCCCCAGAATTAGCTTATGTTTCTTCTTAATATGATTTAAAACCTTTTCCACATTCTTGGGGAAAAAATGTTTAACCAGATGTTTTAAGATTGCACGCTATTCATCACAAGGGCATCCAACCAACTAGTTAGTGTTTCTCTGACTCCAGCTGAGAGTGACTTGTGACTGGCATCGCTCATTCAGGCGACAGCACAGAACAGACATCTGTGAAGCCATGGAGGGCTCGAGCTTGGTGCTGGTCTGTCCAGCCTGTCATGGGAGATGGTCCTTTGTTGGGGACCATGAGGGTCCATGTTCCTGGGCCTCGAGCATAGGATGGTGGTATACTGGCTTATCGAGTCCCATTGTGTGGTATGGTAAAGAAAAATAAATTGTTACAAATAATAGTTGAAATACTAAAGTTTGCAAATAAATTAGGTTAAGGTCAAGGACACCTTCATAATGCCAAGTCTCCTTCGTTGTCTTTCTTGAGAGATTTCTGGGAAAAAGAGAATCATGAGTCATGAGAAGCTGGGACCAGTCGTGCCAAAAAACACTATTTATCATGTGTCATAGCAGCACAAAGGTTGGAAGCTGATGGATAGGACCCCCAGCCTTAGATTGTCCCCCTTTGGGAAATATTCTTTACTTGGCATGTTCCTAACCATGGAATTAGCTTCTGTGCCACACAGTCTGCCTCTCCCAGCTGACTAGTATTCCTGATATTAAATCATAATTATAAACCTAATGATGAGGACTGCACAAGGGATTTAAAATTCCACGGAGCATATCTTAGGGTGTGTCGCTGCCTTTCAGGTCTCCTGGTGCTGGATATCTACTTTTAGCTCTCACGTCTGGTCTGAGAAGACAATAGTATTATCCCCATTTTACAGATAAGGAAAATGAGGCACAGTCAATAGCTAGAGAATACTAGAACTTGAACCCAAATCTGCCTCGCTCCTGTACACGGTCCCACCTACATAAATTGCAGGGCTTCATGCAAAGTGGGGTCACTTGTTCAAGATTTAAGAATTCTAAGGTGGTGATACTGTGAATTTCACAGCATGGGACCCTGGGAGGCTGCTGGGCACAGCCCTTGAAGTCAGCCCTGCCCATCCACTTCCCTGGCCCCCACAGCTGCCCCACAGAAACTCCTCTCAGCAGCTTCTGAGATAATCCCTATTTCCAGAGCTCCACCAGCAGTGCATCCAGCCCCCCAGCCCCTTGGAAAGTCAGCTAGATAGAGTGATTTCCAGATCCCTTCACTTCCAGACATTTCAGAGTCCTCAATATTGTTTCCTGCAAACACAGAATTTATTATATTTTTCTGTAAGTCAGGTAAGGAACAACATAAAAAGCAGCAAGAATATGAATCCTCCTAGAATATAAAAGTGTCCTCTGAATAACGGGGAACTTGTTTGAACACATCTACAAACTAACACAGTGTTCTCAGCCTTTAATGCCTTATATCCTACCAATCTCTCTATCAAAGAACCTGAGTCCAACAGGATGGAAAAAAAAAAATCCACCCTCTTTTCCCAAGAAAGACATTTATATGCTTACTTGCGTTCTCTTATTATAGACCTATCGCTCACTGGCAAGTTTCAAGGGCATTAAAAATCACAGTAGATATTGTTGGAGGTAAATCCTGTGCTAATGGCTTTCAAACACAAATGAACAAAAATAACAATCCCATTAGTAGGGGAAAATTGTAATAATATTATTGAGTATAAATTTTACTGTTACTATAACTACAAAACAACCAAGAAAATTAATTAAAAAATCACAGTAACGTTATTGCCAAAACACTGGTGGTCAGAGAGGGTGGGGGAAGGACGCAAGGCCCATATCTTAGCAGAGAGATGGTGTCCTGGTGGGGAGCAGGGAGTGTGGATTAGAACTACTGAGCTTAGAGTAGACTGATGAGTCACAAATTGGCAACCCAAGGCAGGTGAGGCAGTAGGGAATGGCAGGTCATAATGTGTAGGTAGCCCCAGGCACTAACAGTGAGCAGGTGTGTACTCACTGTTATGAAGATGTTGTATTGAGTCCATTGCATGTTATCAAGCACACACTTCTGGCGTGTGTACTAGGTGTCTGGTTCTCTGCCAGATGTGGCCCCAAGATGGCACCCTGTTCACCACATTAGTCATGCTGGAAACGTACACATCATCCTGGATTCTGTCCCCAGCCCCAACTCTCGCCTTCTGTCCTAAATTCATCCAGTTCACTTCCCCATCCCCACTGCCCCATCTAAGCCATCCTCATCTCCTGTACTAGTTTCCTGATCTCCCTGCCTCCAGTCCTCTTCCTCTTATCCACACTGCTCCAGGGCCATTTCAATAAAACATAAATCAGATTAGGCCATTCCCTCTGACTAAGATGTCCTCACGGACCCTAGGACCAAGTTCAAACTCAGCATAGCTAGAAACCCCAGCATGATCCAGGCTTGTCTTGCCTCTCCCATCTTATTTCTTGCTGCAGCTCTAAGCTTTGCCCATCCAGAACCATGTTCAGTCTCCCCCAAAGAGCCATGCCACTCTTGCATCTGGGTCTTCCCCCAGCCTGGAACATCTTCCAGCTCCTCTTCCCCTGGTGAATCCTAAGTATCCTTCCAGGCTCAGCTTAAATGTTGTTTCTTCCTGGAAGCCTTCTCTGATTCTGTACACAACGGGTGCTCTTGCCGGGAGCTCACACAGCACCCAGGACCACCCCTTCATCACCACCATTGCATTTACTCTAAGTCCTTGTCAGATATGTCTCCTTCACTAAACTGCAAAGCTCCAATCTGTGTTTCCATTGTCCTCTCCTTTGAGCTGGGCAGTGCTAGCTGCTTCATGAGTGTTTCTTGACTGTATTCATTTATCCACTCAACTTTATTGAACACCAACTAAATGGCAGGCATTACAGATACAGCAGTGAGCAGATGAATCCCTGCCTGCATGGAGTCTGCATTCTAGCAGGGAGACAAGAATGAAATTAGTTAAATAATTAAAAATTAGAGTAAATAAGAAAAAACCAACAAGAGGGGACACAGAAAGCAGTGTTAGGGAGAGACCTTGGAATTAGGGTGCCCAGGGAATATCTCCCTGAGAAGTGATCATCATGCTGAGGCCCCAAAGATGAAAACATAAGGAAAAGGTCATTCTGAATGGTGCTGACATGTGCAAAGGCCCCAGGGTGGAAAACTGTGGTGTGCTGTAAGAACCCAGAAAAGACTGATGTGACAGGAGAGGGAAGGGAGAGCAAGTGTGGCCCAGCATGAGACGAGTTGAATGGAGGGCCTTTTATCTCCACGCTGGAGAAATTCGCAGATGTGGGGGAAGGAGGCAGGTCCATGAACACCTATTCCCATATAAGGTGCTCGGACTTCAGGGGAATCTCTGCGTCAGCTGGGGGAGTGCAGGCATTGGACTGTGGCAGTCCTTGATGTGCCATTTTCTGAACCACCCCGGGCTTTCATGGCCCCTGTCCCTCATGGCCAGAGAGACACATGTTAGTTTCCATATCACATGGAGAAGCTGGGTCTGGAGCCCCTTCCCTGGGCATCCTTAGCTCCCTGTGCAGACCCTCTCCTAGACTGGAATGTCCCCACTCTTTCCTTCTCTATCTCCCAGGTAGAAAGTGTGTCCCTTGAAGGCAAGAGTTTGTTGGTTTTCCTCACTGCCAGAGTCTCCTTTTCAAACCCACCTCTGCTTCTGTTCATGCCCGCTCTGTCGCTTTGTTATGGTTTCTTTTATCTCTTCAATCTTAAACATGTCTAATTGTCTCATTCAGATTACTCGTTATCGCGGGGTCTTAGGGACCAGTCTTCCTTTGAATTGAACCTGATGTCTCTCCCCATCACTAGTTTCCTCCTTTGCTTTTGGGTTGTTTGCTC